GTATGCCACCCACCACGTCAACCTCGACTCAACCTGATCAATCCGCCATTCGCGTGTTTGTTTGCCACTGTGTTTGGACCAGGCTGGCGTGGACGAGAAGTGAGTGCAGCTCTACCAATCATCCAGAAAGCAACCCACTTTAGAACCCAATCAAAGGACCAAACCAAAACCAACTCCACACCCTGACCGCGTGCTGCATGCGTTACGTTTGCTGACACGCCCCACCTCTCCTCTGACCGTAGCACGCTGTTCTTGAATGTTTGACTGTGCGTATCCCTTGTCACGTAAGGAGGGGAAGAAGGAAGGTTGGATGTCTGTCTCGTTCGTGGTCGTTGAAGGTGTGCCTTCTTTTGTCGTGGTGCTGTCCATCATGTGTGTATGTGTTTCTGCCCGCGTGTAGCGGTGGCACGTGTAGTGTCTCGTTCGGCAGTCGGCACAGCGCAGTGTTTCCAAATACATGCAACCATCAACTTGTGCGCACGTACGGCATCACCTGGTTTTATGTGATGCCATGACAACACCTCAGAGGTTGGCTGGGGGACCAAAGGGAGGGGAGACGGGGAGAAACAGACAGGGAAGACACTGTGCCATTGAGCAGTCAACACACAAACACACGCGGAACCATCAAGACTTGTCAACCAGGGGGAGGTGGTGGTGGTGGCTGGTGGTAGCCGTACTGTTGAGGATAATAGGCCTGCTGTTGGTGGCCGTGGTGCGGGTGCTGCTGGTAGTATTGAGTGTACGCGTGTTGATGGTGATGGTAGTACTGTTGCTGATGCTGTGGATAGTGGGAATATTGTTGGAGTTGGAGTTGTTGTTGGAGTTGGAGTTGTTGTTGTTGTTGGAGTTGTTGTTGTTGTTGGAGTTGTTGTTGTTGTTGTTGTGGTTGTGGTTGTGGTGGTGGTGGTGGTGGTTGTGGATAGTGGGAATATTGGTGTTGCTGCTGATAGTGCGGCTGTTGTTGCTGCTGATAGTATTGTTGTTGTTGTTGTTGTTGTTGTTGTTGTTGTTGTTGTTGTTGTTGTTGTTGTTGTTGTTGTTGTTGTTGTTGTTGTTGTTGTTGTTGTTGTTGTTGTTGTTGTGTTTGCGTTGCAGATACAGACGGCGGTGGCGGAAGAGGAGGGCCCTCCAGTCGCGCTACTGCTGGCCCCGTCGCCGCGCTCACTGCCGCCAATGCAACCGTGCTTGGTGGTGGCGGGACAGGGGGCACCTTGGCCACTGGCAACGAAGCTCTTGTTGTTGTTGGTGGTGTCTTTGCCGTTGTTGGTGTTGTTGTTGGTGGTGTCTTTGCCGTTGTTGGTGTTGCTGTCGTTGTTGCCGTAGCTGATGGCGGGGCGCGGTGTGACAGCTGTTCAAGTCGTGACGGCGCTGGTGGCGGCGGCACAGGTGGTGGCTGCTGCTGCTGCTGCTGCTCTCGCTGTTGCTGCTGCTGTGCCTGCTGTTCCTGTTTGTGCGCTTGCTGCTGTTGTTCGCTGTGTTGTTGGCGTTGTTCCTGTCGGTGCCTGTGACCGTCACCACCCAGCACACGACTGCCACCACCACCACCACTAGAGCTGCCACTGCTGCTGCTGCTGCTGCTGCTGCTGCCGCCGCCGCCGCCACTGGTCTGCAGCTGCTCCACGCCGGCCTTGACGAACCGAACCACACCTCCCCGCGACTTGCTCAACGCACCAAACGAAATGCCGTCAAACTTCCGCCGGCTGGGTAACTCCGCAGAGCCTCCGCCTACAACAGCACCAACGCTGCTTCCATCACCATCGTCATCGTCATCAACGCGATTGCCAGCAGCAGCGCCACCAACGGGCACGAATCCGCCAGCAGCACCACGCGCTCGCGACCCTGTCGCTGTCATTCCTGCCCCCAACGCATCGTGTGAAGGCCTGGTAGTCGTGGTCGTGTTATCGCCGTCGTCATCGTCGTCAACGATGCTCTTGAACCCACCACCTCCACCGCCACTGCTGCCAATGCTCTTGAATCCACCACCGCCACTGCTGCCAATGCTCTTGAATCCACCACCGCCACTGCTGCCAATGCTCTTGAATCCACCACCTCCACTGCTGCCAATGCTCTTGAACCCGCCACCGCCACTGCTGTTGTTGGGTGATGTTTTTTTCCGCACAAACCCTTGGCTCGCGTCGACAGGCAACTTTGCTGCCGCTGCTGTTGTTGCTACTGATGTTGTGGGCGGTGGTGGCGGTGGTGGTGGCTGTTGGTGTATTGCAGCTCCTGCATGCGGTTGCTGCTGCTGGTGTTGCTGTTGCTGTTGCTGCTTTGCGCGCTCCGCCATTTCCTGAAGGCGAGCGAGCGCCCGCGCTTCATTCTTCTTCTCGCGTTTGCGCGACTTGGCTGTGGTGCACGCAGTGCGAGATGGCAGGTGATCGTGGAAGGTATGCCACCTGTGTGAGTGTCAACATTGGGACGACCATTGCTTCGAGCAACAGCCAAAGAGCAGCAGAAACAAAAGCGGATACAGAGGCACAAGCAGCAGCAGAAGCAACGGACACACACACACACACGCACGCACACATACATACATACACACGTATGCGCACACACACACGCGCACACACACACACACATACACACATACACATATACACATGTACACATACACGTACCATTCTTCTGTTTGAAATCACGCTGCTTGAGGTCTTTGAGCCGCTTGCGGTGGTGGTGGTCGTATGAGCTCAGGTGGTTCTCCCACTCACTCATCTACCAGGTCACATCAAGTCAAGCCATCAAGAGCGAAGAGTAGTCTGATGTGAGCAGTGGTGACCCGCATGCAGCCTTGCACCGCATCATCACAGTAGGACACGCTGAGGTGCGACAGGTGTCGCAGCCCACCTTGGTGTAGCCTTTGTTGCACACGTCGCAGAAGAAGCTTCGGTTCATCTCCGCAATGTCCTTCTTCAGGGTGGCCTCCTTCTCTGCTTTGGCCTGGAAGCATGACACACGCACCAAGCAAAGCATACGCAGTACTCGTGAGATGCAGGCGTGGTGTTGTTATTGTTGTTGGCAGGATCGTCGTTGCCATCGGGTTGCTTGTGGGCTGCAGTTGCTTGGGAGAAGTGGTTGCGGTGTTGCGCACCTTTTTCTTGCGCAGGAGATCTTCCGTCTGCTCCACCTCCGTATCCAGAAGCCGTCTGGTCTCCGTTGTCTTGGCCGCAATCTTGCTCTGTTCGCGTATATCGGGGAGATCAGCGTGTGTGTGTGTGTGTGTGTGTGTGTGTGTGTGTGTGTGTGTGTGTGTGTGTGTGTGTGTGTGTGTGTGTGTGTGTGTGTGTGTGTGTGTGTGTGTGTGTGTGTGTGTGTGTGTGTGAGAGAGAGGGAGAGTGTGCGTGTGCGTGTGCGTGTGCGTGTGCGTGTGTGTGTGTGTGTGTGTGTGTGTGTGTGTGTGTGTGTGTTGATACTCG